CAGCAGGACATGCCCCACCTGCGCCGCCTGATGTACAAGGAGCTCTGCCACTGCCAGCTCGCCCTTTGACCCCCAAAATTCCCGGAATTCCTCCCCAATTCCCGAATTCCCAAAACCCCCCGAAAACCCCCGAAAAAACGCAAAAAACCCCACGAAAATCGGCCTCAAAATGGGCGAAAAATGAGAATTTTTCTACGGTGTGGGCGGGGCTTAAGGGAGGTGGGCGGGGCTTAATGGCCCCCAAAATTTTGGGAATTTTTGGGATTCCCGAAAAATGTAAAAATTCCAAAAAAAATTCTCAGAAAAACAAAAAAAAACCCGCGGAAATCGGCCTCAAAATGGGGGAAAAATGGGAATTTTGGAAGGGGGTGGGTGGGGCTTAAGGGAGGTGGGCGGGGCTTAATGGCATCAAAATTTGGGGAATTTTTGGGGTTCTGAAAAATTTGAAAATTTAAAAAAAAAAAAACTCGAAAAAATCCCGAAAAGCTCCAAAAAAAACCCCCAAGAAAAACTAAAAAAAACCAAATAAAAATTCCACAAAAAATTCCACAAAAATTCCTCAAAAATTCCCCAAAAAATCAAAAGAAATTCCAAAATTCCCCCCAAAAAATCCCAAAATTTCCTCAAAAATCTCCAAAAACTCCCAAAAAATCAAAAAATTCCCCCAAAAAATTCTCCAAAAATTCCCAAAAATTTCCCCAAAATTCCCTGAATTCCCCAAATTTCCCCAAATTCCCCCGAATTTTTTGTTTCGGGGCCGTCACAGAAAAATTTTGGGAATAAAAAGTGAAAAAATCCAAAATTTGGGCTCTGGGGGGAGGGGCAGGGGAATTTTGGGGCAATTTTGGGGGATTTTGGGACATTTTGGGGCATTTTTGGGTGGGATTTGAGGAATTTTGGGGCCATTTTGGAGGATTTTGGGGCATTTTTGGGACATTTTTGGATGTTTTGGGGAGAAATTTTGGGTCATTTTTGGGGGGATTTTGGGCCTTTTTTGGGGACATTTTTTGGGGGGATTTTGGAACATTTTTAAGGAATTTTTTTGGAAATTATGGGACATTTTTGGGGTTTTTTTTGGAGGGTTCTGGGACACTTTTGGGGGAGATTTTGGGACATTTTTTGGGGACTTTTTTGGGAGAATTTTGGGACTTTTTTGGGGGGGGCTGAGACATTTTTTGGGGGGATTTTGGGACATTTTTGGAGGGATTTTTTGAGAGTTCTGGGACATTTTTTGGGGACTTTTTAGTGGGAATTTTGGGACTTTTTTGGGGGATTTGGGACATTTTTTGGGGGGATTTTGGTCACTTTTTGGGGGTATTTGAGGCCACTTTTTGGGGCTTTTTCGGGGAGATTTTGGGACCTTTTTGGGGAATTTTGGGACATTTTTTGGGGGGATTTTGGGACATTTTTGGGGGTATTTGAGGCCACTTTTTGGGACTTTTTCGGGGAGATTTTGGGACCTTTTTGGGGAATTTTGGGACATTTTTTAGGGGTGTTTTGGGAGATTTTTTGGGGAATTTTGGGACATTTTTTAGGGGTGTTTTGGGAGATTTTCTGGGGAATTTTGGGACATTTTTTAGGGGTGTTTTGGGAGATTTTTTTGGGAATTTTGGGACATTTTTTGGGGAATTTTGGGACATTTTTTAGGGGGGTTTTGGAACTTTTTTGGGGGGATTTTTAGAGGTTTCTGGGACTTTTTTGGGGGGATTTTGGGCCATTTTCGGGGGGATTTTTAGAGGTTTCTGGGACTTTTTTTTGGGGGTGGTTCTGGGACATTTTTCGGGGGGATTTTTGTCACTTTTTGGGCTTTTTTTGGGCCATTTTGGACCAACCCACTCCCGCGTGTGGGGGGGGAGGAGTTGGAATATCCCACCCACCCCGCCGCGGGGGGGGGGGGGGAGGGTGATCCCCACTTCCCCCCCTCCCCTCCCCCAATTCCCGTGCGCGGCCCCTTTAAGACCCCCTCCCCCCCTTTTTATTTCTGGGTGGGGTCTCCCCCTTTAAATCCATTTTGTCCTCTCCCATTTAACCCAAAAATTCCGCGTCCCCCCCCCCTCCTCCCCCTTTTCCCCAATGGTTCCGCCCAACCCCCGGCGGCCACGCCCCCTCCCTCATTACCCCGCGGCGCGCGCGGCGCTCGGCCAATCAGCGCGCGGCGCGGGCGCGGCGGGAGGAGCGGACCAATGGCGGCGCGGGGGGGGCGTGGCGCGGTTGCGGCCGCCTCATAAAGCGGCGCCGGGCGGGGGAAGGAGCGCAGCGCGGCCATGTCGGCGAGTCACGACAGCAGGTGCGGCACGGGGCGATACCGGCTGGGGGGGGGGGGGGGGGGGGGGGGGGGGGCGGGGGGGAGCGGCCGCCGCCATGAGGGGGAGCCGCAAGCGGCGGAAGCGGCGGAACCGTCCGCGTTCCCTGAGGCGAAGCGGCCGCCGCCGTTCCCTGAGGGGAACCCCGCGCGTTGCCGCGTCCTTCCCCCCCCCTCCCCTCCCAACCCGGGGGGGGTTTTTTGCCGGTTTTTGGCCGTTTTTTGGTGGTTTTGAGGCGGTTTCGGAGGGTTTTGCCCCCCCCCCCGCCCACGTGGTCGGCGCAGCGCGCGCCTCCATTGTTCCCCCCCCTCCTCCTGCGCGGCGGGCGTGATGACGTCAGGAGGGACGCGCGGCGCTGATTGGTCGGTTCGGGGGGAAGTGGGCGGGGCTTTGCGGCGCGGCCGCGTGGTCGGAGCCGGGGGAGGGGAAGGGGGGGTCGGGGCCGCTTCCGGTCACGTGGGCGGGATGGGGGGACGGCGATGGCGTCACGCGGTGGGGTGATGACGTCACTTGGCGGTTTTTAACCTTTCTCCTTCCCCCAGATCTCGCGAGAGCGGCCCCGAGGGGATGGAGCCGGACGGGATCATCGAGGTCAGGAACTGGGACAAACTGGGAGGGGTTAAAGTTAAACTGGGACAAACTGGGAAGGGTTAAAGTTAAACTGGGACGGACTGGGAGGGGTTAAAGTTAAACTGGGATGGACTGGGAGGGGTTAAAGTTAAACTGGGATGGACTGGGAAGGGTTAAAGTTAAACTGGGAGGGATTGGGACAAACTGGGATGGACTGGGAGGGGTTAAAGTTAAACTGGGATGGACTGGGAAGGGTTAAAGTTAAACTGGGAGGGATTGGGACAAACTGGGAGGGACTGGGAAGGGTTAAAGTTAAACTGGGACAGACTGGGAGGGGTTAAAGTTAAACTGGGACAGACTGGGAGGGGTTAAAGTTAAACTGGGACAAACTGGGAGGGGTTAAAGTTAAACTGGGATGGACTGGGAAGGGTTAAAGTTAAACTGGGAGGGGTAAAAGTTAAACTGGGAGGGACTGGGAAGGGTTAAAGTTAAACTGGGAGGGGTTAAAGTTAAACTGGGAGGGACTGGGAAGGGTTAAAGTTAAACTGNGGGGCCGCTTCCGGTCACGTGGGCGGGATGGGGGGATGGCGATGGCGTCACGCGGTGGGGTGATGACGTCACTTGGCGGTTTTTTAACCTTTCTCCTTCCCCCAGATCTCGCGAGAGCGGCCCCGAGGGGATGGAGCCGGACGGGATCATCGAGGTCAGGAACTGGGAGGGACTGGGACAAACTGGGAGGGACTGGGAGGGGTTAAAGTTAAACTGGGAGGGACTGGGAGGAGTAAAAGTTAAACTGGGACAAACTGGGAAGGGTTAAGGTTAAACTGGGAGGGACTGGGAAGGGTTAAAGTTAAACTGGGAGGGACTGGGAGGAGTAAAAGTTAAACTGGGAGGGACAAACTGGGAAGGGTTAAGGTTAAACTGGGAGGGACTGGGAAGGGTTAAAGTTAAACTGGGACAGACTGGGAGGGGTTAAAGTTAAACTGGAATGGACTGGGAGGGGTTAGAGTTAAACTGGGAGGGACTGGGAGGGGTTAAAGTTAAACTGGGACAGACTGGGAGGGGTTAAAGTTAAACTGGGAGGGACTGGGAGGGGTTAAAGTTAAACTGGGACAAACTGGGAAGGGTTAAGGTTAAACTGGGAGGGACTGGGACAAACTGGGATGGACTGGGAGGGGTTAAAGTTAAACTGGGAGGGACTGGGACAAACTGGGATGGACTGGGAGGGGTTAAAGTTAAACTGGGAAGGACTGGGAAGGGTTAAAGTTAAACTGGGAGGGACTGGGAGGAGTAAAAGTTAAACTGGGACAAACTGGGAGGGGTTAAAGTTAAACTGGGAGGGACTGGAAAGGGTTAAAGTTAAACTGGGAGGGACTGGGACAAACTGGGATGGACTGGGAAGGGTTAAAGTTAAACTGGGACAGACTGGGAAGGGTTAAAGTTAAACTGGAACAGACTGGGAGGGTTAAGGTTAAACTGGGAGGAGTAAAAGTGAAACTGGGAGGGACTGGGAAGGGTTAAAGTTAAACTGGGATGGACTGGGAGGGCTCAGAACCAAACTGGGATGAACTGGGAGAGGTTAAAATCAAACTGGGAGGGACTGGGACAAACTGGGAGGGGTTAAAGCTAAACTGGGATGGCTCAGAGCCAAACTGGGATAAACTGGGAGAGATTAAAATCAAACTGGGACAAACTGGGAGGATTCAGAACCAAACTGGGACAAACTGGGAAGGGTTAACATCAAACTGGGAAGGGTCAGAACCAAACTGGGAGAAACTGGGAAGGGTCAGAACCAAACTGGGACAAACTGGGAGAGGTTAGAACCAAACTGGGACAAACTGGGAAGGGTTAGAACCAAACTAGTATCAAACTGGGACAAACTGGGAGTGGTCAGAACCAAACTGGGACAAACTGGGAAGGTTTAAAATCAAGCTGGGAGGAGCTGGAATCAAACTGGGAGTAACTGGGAAGGGTTAACATCAAACTGGGAGGGCTCAAAACCAAACTGGGACAAACTGGGAAGGTTTAAAATCAAACTGGGACAAACTGGGAAGGGTTAACATCAAACTGGGAAGGGTCAGAACCAAACTGGGACAAACTGGGAGGGCTCAGAACCAAACTGGGACAGGTTAGAACCAAACTGGGACAAACTGGGAGGGCTCAGAACCAAACTGGGAGAGGTTAGAACCAAACTGGGACAAACTGGGAGAGGTTAGAACCAAACTGGGATAAACTGGGAGTGGTCTGGATCAAACTGGAATGGACTGGGAAGGGTCAGAACCAAACTGGGACAAACTGGGAAGGGTTAAATTCGAACTGGGAGGAGCTGGAATCAAACTGGGAGAAACTGGGAAGGGTTAACATCAAACTGGGACAAACTGGGAGAGGTTAGAACCAAACTGGGACAAACTGGGAGGGCTCAAAGCCAAACTGGGACGGCTCCAAACCGCTCCGCCCTTCCTCCTTTCCCGGGACCGGTTTATACCGGTTTCATCCCGGTGCGTGGTGGCTCTTACTGGTTCTTACTGGTTCTTACTGGTTTGTACTGGGGCGGCAGAGCAACTGGCACGAGGTGGTGGACAGCTTTGACGAGATGAACCTGT